CCTGCTGAGAATTCAGAGGATTGCTGGAGATATGGGAAAAAGTCCCTGAAGATTTTCCTAGCTCAGCACGAGATTGCCAGTGACCTCAACTGCCTGTAGATTTTATGAAAAGCAAAGGAATTATTCTGTAGCTCCAGTTCTTAGCTTACCATACTCTGGAAACCTACAAGCAATTAGATGCTCTAGAACTACCATTTCAGGCTTCCTCTCAGCTTAGCCCTGACCTATTCATATTCTGTCCAGAATCTTGCCCCAGTGGGAGCCTCACTCTCAAAATCATGCATTTCCCTGTGTTTTTCTTTGTCCCACAGGATTACCATCAAATTCCTTGGTAGCATGACAACAGATTTTTTTTCTAGCCCTGAAAATCATGTAGTCAGTTGAAACAACAAAATAATTTTAGGCCAGTACTCTGTGGAGTGCAGAGAAGCAAACTGTTCTGTGGGGTCTAGACAGAGCAGCACGAAGAGACGGTTAGCAGGGAACCTTTAGATATACAACCACTCTCCCCATTTGAATAACAACAGGTGAAAGACTTTCTCCTCCTCCCAACTCATTTAACTACTTAACTCTCTCAGGCAACCAACATGATTGCAAAAGTCAGATTAAAGTACCTGAAGAGGCTGCCACACACAAACAGCTGTGTACAAGAAGATAATAATAGAATGATGTTGTATTTTCTAGAATTATATCAATTCCTTAGCAGAAATCTACTGACTTGTCATACGAAATTATCTTTCTTCTATGTAAAACCAAACAGCAGTCCTGAATCATTTACTGACAGAGCATATCTTGTTATGAGAACGGAGTATCCACATTTTATTAACTTTCTCACCATAAAATGTTAATCAAATAACTGGTTATGAATGAAGAATCACTATTTAGATTAGCTAACAACTGGATAGAATTATGGGTATTTTTTTTCCCTTTTGGAAAGGTTAACATTTAAAAAGCTATGTTTGATGAGTCAAAAGGATTGATTCAATCAACGTCACCATGAAAACAGAGAAATCCTAACTTCTGGTGAGAAAGTGCAAGCACACCTTGACTATTCAACAGGACACAAATTGTAATTGTCAGAGATATAATCTTACTCCAAATTATACATTCAAAGCTACAAAGACATTATAATAGCTGCAAAAACACCACCAATAACACAGTCTACTATTCTTTAATAACAAAGCCCTGCAACTGGATGCGTCAGAGGCATGGCATCCAGACAGCTATATCCTTTCCCTTCCAGAATACAGAACAGCTTCGCACTGAAGACTAGTGCATCTATTCATGAAAATGCCTCAAAAGAAATGGAAGATGTGACTACTTAAAAACACCAGGGTAAAAGTCAGAGAAATGTCATATTTTTCTACTTGGTCTAGGTTACTTACACTCTATTTCAAGTTGGTCCAGGGCCAGTAGCATCTTTTTGGCTTCAGTGAGTGATGTCCAAATTCAGCTACTGGTCTCTATATGCATTCATCAATAATTCTAATAGCCGTACCTTTTTTCTCCCCTTATATCTACAGTGACTAGATTTTCAAATTAGCACACAGACACACATCAAACAATGTAGGGGAGAAACATCTGGCAACTGGAAGTGTTTATTATTTTCTTCAGCTTGTCACCACATGCCCATCATCCCCAGAATAAAGTAAGATTTGATGCAATACTACTAATGAAAACATAACACTCACTCACAGAAACTCTCACTTAAAATCACTTCATCCTTCCTGATGAACTGCATTTTTGCCGGTTTCCCTATCTTTCTAGCAATAGCTTCCTCAGTTTCTGCCTCGGGATCCTCTCTGTCATTTTTTTCTACCTTATCTACCCCTATCTTTTTAATTGCAGTAATTTTTTTTTTAAAGATAACTAGTCTTACCAGAGTCACTGACACGTTCATAACCCTTCCAAACTGATCAATATAGTAGACATTATCCTGGTACCAGGAATCCAGGTGAAGATAATTATACATGCCAAAAGCACGCATGTGGTCAAGGGTATATTGATCATCACGAAGTTTGACTTCTGCAACAGCTGGAAAAGAAAAGAGAGAGAGAGAGAGAGAGAAACTATTTTAACAGTTATGAAAAATATATTTAAAAGTTATTCTGCCATCCTTAGCCCACAAACCTGATTTACTTGAAGAAAAATACATTATATATAAACAGTTAAAATGTCAGTATAAACTTGGAAAAGAGTTCACACACATTCAAGGTCACTGCAAACATTCAGCGTGATCATGTAATAACCATTACCATTTATAATGGCCTACACTGTCTCTTCCTAACACGTGTTGAGATTTCTCCAATTTGCTGATATCCTGCACAAGGCAAAAACACATAACCAGCTATCACGCAAAATTCATTTTGAAACCTGCTTGTGAAGAGAACAAAGAGTCCCAATTACATTGCATTACAGCAAGGGGAAAAAAATTGTGCTCTATGATAACCTGTATAAAGCAATAGCCTAAAGAAATATCCCCTCTAACTATACGGATTTCAATCCTCAATTCTGAATCAAGCAATCAACACTTGCAAGGCAAAAGATTAAAACAGTACAAAGTAGAATTAGTATATGGTCATTACTGAAGAAATATGTCACCAGCACTCCTTCTGAGGTTGAAGAAGTCTGGAGAAACGTCCAAGATGCCCTCAAAAATTTGGCCTATGCTTTCTCTAACTATAAGAGGCTGTAAAGAAGGGCTGTTCACTAATAATGGTACCTTCTTCAGGAAGGGAAGAATGCTACTTAAAATGACCCGCTTGAGCTTCTTCCAACTAAAAAATCCCTCTTCAGTTGGCAGTAATCACAACATTATCTTTCTAAGACTATGTTTTCCTTTAAAAGGCGGGTTCGAAAGGTAACCTCCCTCAAGGGAACTACTAGTTGAGGCTCTTTCCTCCTCTTCCTCATCTCTATGGAGAACTAACAGCTGCAGACTCAACATCTTAACAAACTTATTTCTACTCTTTTTTGCTTAGAGACAGAGCAAAACTATTTCCACTATTTCCCTCTGCTCCATCTACTCCTGTAATAGTGATCATTCACAACTCTACCCAGCATTCCTCATCTTAGATTTCTTGTACTCCTTTTCAGAATCTCCTTAAAACCTGCTGAAGAAATGGTAATTTATTCTACTCTCAGTAGAACACGGATGACTACAAACCACAATTCATTTTCCAATGCAATTCGTGCCACTGGATGGCTATCACAATACCAGCAATCGGATAATCACCAGCTGGCTCAAAACTGACCCCATCAGAGATACTGGCTATTAACATTAAATTGGCTACAGGAAACAAAGCAAGGTAATACCACCTAGTTAATAAAAAAATCCAGTCATATTATACTCTCATTTGAGAAAGGTTTTGTAGAAGCAACTAGCCTCCTAATCAGTGTTGATATTTGCAAACTAACAGCGTTAATTCCACTCAACTCAAATCATTATTTACATTCACTAAACAGAAAGGATTTCAGCCTCTGCCATTACTAAATCACTGTTCCCCAAGCCACAGCCCTTCAAAAAAACTTAGGCTCCCTATCAAAAAAAGGAGCTGTGAGAAGAAAATATACCTATCATAATGAGAAAGATGCTACCCAATCCAATTTTTACTTTCACTTAATTAGAATATTTCAAAGTTACACTGCAGAAGAAATTAAAACTAAATGTGTTCTAAACCTGTTTGGACAATGAAGAGAATATGAATACCAAAGAGATACTCTTCCCAACATGACAAGATCAGAGACCACGTGAATATACTGTAAACTTTTAAAGAAAAACAAAAGAACAAATATAACCCAAGATAATTATTTTCAGTGATACCAAGTATATCTCATCTGCTTCCTGCACAGCTACATTAACTGAACTTTCTAAATCAGAGTTCACAGGCTGAGGCGTGTAAAGTATTTTCAGCACAAAAAGGCTAAAACTGTCTTATTTTACAGTTCCCTCTCCTACCCCTCTCAGTCATGTTGCTGCTGGCAGATGTTTAACTAAAATACATACAAATATCAAAAATAGTCCAAACTGCAGGCTTCCTAAAACAAATGTACAGCTTTTAAAGAAAGCTGGGAAAATTCTGGGAATAATATACTACTGATTAGCTGATTATAGGGTGTTAAGCTTTACAAAAGCTGGAAGGACATGAACAAATTGTGTCTTGACTTTTTCAGCTGGTAGTCCTGACGAGCCCTGAATAATAAAGGATCAGGCACAGAAGATCCAAACCCCTGAAAACACCTTATGCAGTTCTTCACAAATAGAAGTCAAGAAACTATAAAATTTGGAGGTGATTTTAACCAGGAATCAAGCAAACCTGTACTGTACTCTCATGCTATGCTTTAAATTGTTATTAACCGATTGCAGGCATCTCATATTAGCACGCAACCTCTAGGTTATGCTAAGAAGAAATCATTAGAGAAACTATTCCATCCTTGATTAATTGAAACCTGTTCTATGATCAAGTGAAACCTGTTCACAAATGCCATCTGCAATCACATACAACTTGCTCAGATAGTTTACTCCTAGTGTAGAATCTCCTATAATTTCATCTCTTTCTTTCTATAGCCTTCATTGTTTAAGTTTTGCTGATGGCCTTGCAATGGTGAGGAGAAAACAGAGTCGAGTGCAAGGAGGAAGGAAAAGAAGAGAGAATCAACTAAGAATTTAAGAAAGAAATTCTGGAAAAAGATAAGTTAATATAAAAGGAAATGAAAGAAATAAAAAGGAGTATAAAAGCAAAGGAGGAAATATTTAAATCAGATCATCACCTTATGCAGTCATATATATATGCACACACACATACAAACACACCCTTTTTTTTAAAAAAAAAAAAAAAAAAAAAGAAGAGTGACTGCATCTAGGACATAGACTAATTTACTAGCTCCAATTCATTGGGTTCAAATAGCAAGCAGCAATTCCTAACAGCTATTCCAAAGAATGATATGTCTCTTTCAAGTTTCTAATCAACAAACTTGCATTATCCAAACCCAAGAACATCAATTCATATTCTTTCACACCAGGAAAGAGAACTAATATGACAATGTATAATTTAACTCTCAGCTTTAAATGTTTGCTATTTCCCAACAACCCTAATAAGGTGTGATATATCAGACAAGCAAAAAGAAGATGATTCCACTTTGCTAGAACTGAATCTATGAAAAACTAATTTAACTCAGAACACTTCCAAGATACTGAAAACAAAATTTTCACTCTCTCCAACTTTACTCAAAATCAAAAATCACTATATACAAAAAAATACATGACTATCAACAGAAGTAAGCTATCCCTAACCTAACCGGATTTTTTTTCTAGTTATTCTATAATGCAAACAACAAAAAAAAACAAAACAACAAAAAAATCCTTTCCTGAATAAACAGCATTAACAAGAGACTTATCCTGTAAATGAATGCCAAAGTCTCTCATCTGTCATTAAATACTGTAAAACAGAACTGCAAAAAAGGGGGAGGGGGCAGTGGAAGCCATAGTATTTTAAGGTAGTTTATCGAATTCTGCAAAATGACTTAAAAATACCGGAAAATATGTAAAATATTATGTCAACATGTTATTTTGGGATATCAAGTATTATATGCCTATATGTTATACTTTGTCTTGCAGTGACACCCAGTGGAAGCGATTCAGTATTTCATATACACTTATCTAATACTGGAAGACACTATATTAATTAGTTTCACAGTATCAGTGACCAGCATACAGAGATTCTTCTGATCTGGCATAAGCTATCTTTCTTATAATAACAAATATACTTTTATTGTTAACAGCAGCAGCATCTTATTGTTGCTGTTGAGTAAAAATATGATGCTTATTTATTCTACTAAGTAAAGATGTTAATAAACAGTTTATTTTTGTTTTTAGCCTCATATATGCATAGTTTGCTGAAAATAAGCATCAGCCAGCAAATACCATGGAATGAAGCATTTTTGCCGGATCAAATTACCTACACAGATGTGAAATGTAAACAGCATCTATCACACACACTAAACACAAACTGAGCAACATCCAAAAACTAGCAAGCCATCTGTGGGAGAGAATATCAGTACAATAAAACCTTGATTTACAAGCTTGTGCCAGCTGCAGGAATCATTTTCATTGGCAAGAGCTACAAGGCAAAAGTCACCTCTATGTTGTTTTTTTATTTATCAAGAAATTAAAGTACAACATAAAAGAAGATATACGTGTGCCCGAGATCTAAACTTAGATTTACAACCTATAGCTGTGAACATCCAAAACGAAAAAGCCATGGCTCACATTTGCCTAGCATTTCACCAGCACTATTTTAAGAAGTTTTTTCTGCATGTATTCTTCAGTTTTATAGGCTACTGCAAAAGGAAATTTTTATAAAAGTTTGAAACAGATCAGGGTTTTTGGATCCGTAAGACTCAAATATTTTTTTTTCCCTTTGGCATTACTAATGGGCAACACTTTTCACTGAAGTACTGAATTTCTAGAGGAAATAAAAACATCTTGTGTTCTAATCAGAACAGATTCAAAGTATGGCTAGCATTTATTAACATCATTTTTCAAGAAAAGCAAACAAAAATAAATGTATATGACTAAAGGAACGTATTCCCTGCATAATTGTTGCAAATCATGTTTGAGTGAACATTTGGTACACTTTTAAGATGTCATTAGTTCTAAAAGCTATAGCATGCACTATGGCATATAAACAACGGTTCTGCCAAATAGACATGGTGAAGAGGAAAGGCGTGTGGGAATCTGATATCTGAATAAATTCTAAACGCCTAGAGAAAAAAAAACTAGATTATGTCTGATCAGCGGAAATTAAGATTAGGATTTTCACACTAAATTCCTTTAAAAATATTCATCTTCATCACGCTCCTTGCTGGAGACAAGGATCTGCCTTACAATTGCAGCTTTGCTGAGACTGGGTCAGGGCAAAAGAGACGATAGCAAGAAAGACTCCCCAGGCTGTAAGCAAGACTCCACAGGTTCAGTGATCTTCGAGAAAGGAATCCCCTCAAAATTCAAATGCACAGGAAGCATTTGCATAATAGGTAGCAAAATAAACTAAGAAAAATAGGAGAGAAATTAACAAAATCTAGGATGAAGAGTTCGGGATTAAAGGCATAATAGCGCAGGCTCATTACTAGTTTAAAAATAAAAAAAATAAAAATTAAAAAAGGCCAGTATGAGAGATTAGAAAAGACCGAAGACTGAAAGTTTAGATGGCCTAGGGCAGAATGGGTAGCAAGTAAGGAAGAAATTAAAGAAGAACGTGTTAATCAGAGGAGCTGAAAGGGAACATGTAAAACCTAAGAAAACTGCTAGAAATGTGCCCCTTCTACCACACATCCAAGAAAAGAGGTTTCCCATTTCTTTCTGCTTCTGATCACATTAAATTTATGACAACCACAGTGTAAAGAGTTAAAGGCAGAGCTGAACGCTAAGTTTTATACGTTGGTGAGAAATGAAGGTCACTATGGCCACAAGAACATGATCAATACAAGTTGTCCAGCTACAGCAAATAGTGCTGTCCCTCTGCTCAAATAGTAGAAGTTTCTATTCCACATCAATTTTTAACTCATTTGATTTATAGCTAGCAGTGAAACCCAAAAATGGCTAAAAATAATGTATATAAAGCACTTTGTGGTTCTAAGTCATCTTACTTCATAACGAAAATATTGACATCTAGAAGATTAATGCTTTATTCTAATGCTTAAGATGCAACCTCATAATAACACTGTGTATGTACTATAGCAGCAGGAACTCAATTCCAGTTAAGTCTATTTATTGTCGAGTATTCTGAACGTCATGAAAACTGCATGTTCATCTTACTGCCTTGAAATCTGGGATGCCACACAGGCGGAACTGCAAATCCCAGGTCATTTGAGACACATATTCCCAAAGTAGTTTCCTGGAAATAAAACACAAAATTCAACAAATGTTTAACACTAACCTTCCAGACTCTACTACCACATTTTTGTACATATGTGTAGATAAAACCAGAGATTAGTTGTGCTGATGGTGCTCCTTATCCTTTGGCTTTCTCTTCAGCTACTATATTTTATTCACTACCACTTTCAAGAAATAAAATTAAGTCTATGCTCAAAGAGAAACGTTAATTTAATATTCCCCAAACACCAAATTCTTGAGCATGTTTCTGAAGCTTTAAATCTGGTCACAGACGTGCTGAAAACTAGAAGTCCCTGTCCCACTCATACAGTATTAAATTCTTCTCCTACGCAATGATTTGAAAAAGTCATCGCCGACAGGCCACGGTCTCTACGGTTCAACCCATATTTCTGACCATAACATAAGGCAAGACATAGAAGGACGCCTTAAATCTAACTCAAACGTAAACCACCGACACCAGGAAATGCAAAGTTCTGGTATAGGCCACCACTACACTGTGAGGAAATTGCCTGGAAGTAAGCAGAAGAGAAGCAACAGGGATAGTGAGCCAGTTGTATGGCCTAAGGACAGGCTGAAAAAGGATGGATAGAACACCTACAGGAACCAGATACAGGTTTGGTTCATAATTTGGTTTACTAATAAAAAAGAAGTGGGGTTACACTATCCAGTGGACTGATATCTAGATACACACACACACACGGAGCAGAATACATGACTTGATACTAATGATATAGCAGGATAAGAAAATAAGTTGGACTGAAAATGAGTCAGGATGTTCTGGGGAGTGGACAGGGAAAGACAGAGAAGCACACATACTGATCTTCTCTCACCTAAGGTCCTGTAACTATTACATAAAATACCTGTCAAGAACTGTCTAGATCAATCTCTCCTTTAGCAACTCCAGCATTCAAGTATTTCAATGAAAATCTGTTATTCTTATCTGGTTAGAATAGGTATGCAGTACACTATCCAAGAACCACATAGCTCATTTAACCATTACATAGGCAGAACATCAAATTATAGACAATACTACATGACAGTTAAAAGTGGGCAACTTAAATCCTGCAGAAAACATTTCAATTGTTTAAAAGGAGAAACATAAATTTTAGCAAGATATCCCAACATATCTTAATTTAACAAAAATCATGTCTCAAAACCAAGCAGCAAAGCTGAGAAACTATACCTATGCTACGCTAATTGTTGCCATCTTGCCCCAGCTGTAGTATGCCCCTAACATACACACACACTCACATATCTTTGAAGTGTCTTTTAAAAGTCTAAAAGTCTACATCAGTCTAACAGTAAAAATGCCAAACTACATAGTCAAACAACGTCACTCCTGTTAAATGTTGCAGCCCTGTGATTAGCACATATACAATATCACTTAATAAATACTCTCATTCACTTCTCCTTCAATTCACAGCTCGCATTCAACTTCCATCTTACTGCTGACAGTTCATCATAGCAAACATACTCTTCTGTCTCACTACTAACATAACATACACAACATTAACATTAAAAATGCCTAAAAGATAATTCAGAAGACAGGTATATCACTCAGCAGATGTGTAAGTCGGACAAAGGTCAGCTCACCCAAGTTGTCCCATGTTACAGTCACAGCTTTAAAAATAAAGAAAAAACAATCACCCACCTTAGAATACACCTAAATTTAACAAGTCAACAGAGCTAGAACGCTGAGAGATTTCGGGGGGAACGATTAAGGCTGTAAGCACATGTACCCAAATACTACTTTGCATTAATGTTCTTCTCAATGAAGTGAGAACCCAGTGAATGGACCTGGTAAGGGACCAGCGCCTGGAACACTAGTAATGGCTAGCAGGAAAAGCAGAGCATGGAGTTAGTATCCAGAAGTGTCACCTCTGAACCAAGAATAAAGAAGAAAAACGGCTAAAGTCCACAGAAGAGATTAGTTTCGTATGTACTTCTCTAACTGATATCTACTCACTTAAAGCCTATTTCGAAGGCCATCTCTTCAAAGGAGCTCAGATGGTCACTGGGCCTTACAGATCGCGCACAACCCGAAACTACACTCATCGGACAGGTTTCCTGACCCATTCAGAAACCAAACGCAAACTCAGCGGGACGGACAATTGGAAGAGAGCAATCTGACCCCCGTCAGAGACCGCGGTCCAGCAGGAAGCCAGCGGGTGAGGCCGGGGGACCCGTGAAAACGGTGGAGCCAACCGTAACCGCGTTGCGTCTCTCAACACCGACAGGCGCCCCCAGGCCGCCGACAGGGCGAGGCGCGCGGGACCTCCCTCCCCAGCTGGGCCGGGCCGGGCCA